ACCTGGACAGTTGAGACCATCTATTCAAAGTGAAGTTAGGTTATGACCTTGCCTTGCCATTTTTCCATAAATGTTCCCATCTTTTTACTTCGGATTTCCTTTGTACTTTTACTGGGCGATTTTCTCACTATACCATCTTTCGTAATGATGACCATGTTTCTGTGTTTGTGTGTGTAGCATATCATTTTTTTTAATTTTTTGGATTTTTTTTAATTTTTTATTTAGTAAATATAAATTTTCAAAGTACAGTTAATGGATTACAATGGCTTCCCCGCCCATAATTTCCCTCCCACTCACACCCCTCCCATCTCCCGCTCCAACTCCCATTCCATTCACATCAAGATTCATTTTCAATTATCTTTATATACAGATGATCAATTTAGTATATATTAGGTAAAGATTTCATCAGTTTGCACCCACACAGAAACACAAAGTGTAAAATACTGTTTCAGTACTAGTTATAGCATTACTTCACATTGGACAACACACTAAGGACAGATCCCACATGAGAAGTAAGTACACAGTGACTCCTGTTGTTGACTTAACAATTTGACATTCATGTTTATGGCGTCAGTAATCTCCCTGGGCTCTAGTCATGAGTTGCCAAGACTATGGAAGCCTTTTGAGTTCGCTGACTTCGATCTTATTCCGACAGGGTCATAGTCAAAGTGGAAGTTCTCTCCTCCCTTCAGAGAAAGGTACCTCCTTCTTTGATGGCCCCATTTTTTCTACTGGGATCTCACTCGCAGAGATCTTTCATTTAGGTCTTTTTTTTTTCCCCAGAGTGTCTTGGCTTTCCATGCCTAAAATACTCTCATGGGCTCTTCAGCCATATCCGAATGCCTTAAGGGCTGATTCTGAGGCCAGAGTGCTATTTAGGGCATCTGCCATTCTATGAGTCTACTGTGTATCCTGCTTCCCATGATGGATCGTTCTCTCCCTTTTTGATTCTATCAGCTAGTATTAGCAGACACTAGACTTGTTTGTGTGATCCCTTTGACTCTTGGACCTATCAGTGTGATCAATTGTGAGCTGAAATTGATCACTTGGACTAGTGAGATGGCATTGGTACATGCCACCTTGATGGGATTATATTGGAATCCCCTGGCATAATTCTAACTCCACCATCTGGGGCAAGTTCGATTGAGCGTATCCCAGATTGTACATCTCCTCCCTCTCTTATTCCCACTCTTATATTTAACAGGGATCACTTTTCAGTTAAAATTTAAACACCTAAGAATAATTGTGTTTAATCACAGACTTCAACCAATAGTACTAGAACAAAACAAGGAGAAAATACTAAAATGGATAAAGTATTACATTGTACATCAACAGTCAGGACAAGGGCTGATCAAGTCACTGTTTCTCATAATGTCCATTTCACCTCAACAGGTTTCCCCTTTGGTGCTCAGTTAGTTGTCACCAATCAGGAGAACATATAATATTTGTCCCTTTGGGACTGGCTTAATTCACTCAGCATAATGTTTTCCAAATTCCTCCATCTTGTTGCAAATGACCGGGTTTCATTGTTTTTGACTGCTGTATAGTATTCTATAGAGTACATGTCCCATAATTTCTTTATCCAGTCTACTGTTGATGGGCATTTGGGTTGGTTCCAGGTCTTAGCTATTGTGAATTGAGCTGCAATTTTTCATTAATGTGCAGACAGCTTGTTTATTTGCCAATTTCATTTCCTTTGGGTAAATTCCAAGGAGTGGGGTGGCTGGGTTTAATGGTAGGGTTCTATTCAGGTTTCTGAGGAATCTCCAGACTGACTTCCATAGTGGCTTAACCAATTTGCATTCCTACCAATAGTGGGTTAGTGTCCCTTTTTCCCCACATCCTCGCCAGCATCTGTTGTTGGTAGATTTCTGAATGTGAGCCATTCTAACCGGGGTGAGGTGAAAGCTCATTGTGGTTTTGATTTGCATTTCCCTGATGGCTAGTGATCTTGAACATTTTTTCATGTGTCTGTTGGCCATTTGGATTTCCTCTTTTGAAAAATGTCTATTGAGGTCCTTGGCCCATCTCTTAAGTGGGTTGTTTGTTTTGATGTTGTGGAGTTTCTTGATTTCTTTGTAGATTCTGGTGATCAACCCTTTATCTGTTGCATAGTTTGCGAATATTTTTTCCCATTCTGTCGGTTGCCTCTTCACTCTCCTGACACTTTCTTTTGCAGTACAGAAACTTCTCAATTTGATGCAATCCCAAATGTTAATTTTGGCTTTGACTGCCTGTGCTTTCAGGGTCTTTTCCAAGAAGTCTTTGCCAGTACCTATATCTTGCAGAGTTTCTCCAATGCTCTCTAATAATTTGATGGTGTCGGGTCATAGATTTAAGTCTTTAATCCATGTTGAGTGAATTTTTGTGTAAGGTGTAAGGTAGGGGTCTTGCTTCATGCTTCTGCACATGGAAATCCAATTTTCCCAGCACCATTTATTGAATAGACTGTCCTTACTCCAGGGATTGGTTTTGGATCCTTGATCAAATATGAGTTGGCTGTAGATGTTTGGGTTGATTTCTGGTGTTTCTATTCTGTTCCATTGGTCTATCCATCTGTTTCTGTACCAGTACCATGCTGTTTTGATAACAACTGCCCTGTACTATGTCCTGAAATCTGGTATTGTGATGCCTCTGGCTTTGTTTTTGTTGTACAAGATTGCTTTAGCTATTCGAGGTCTCCTGTGTTTCCATATGAATTTCAGCATTTTTTCCAGGTCTGAGAAGAATGTCTTCGGTATTTTGATTGGTATTGCATTGAATCTGTAAATTGCTTTTGGGAGAATGGACATTTTGATGATATTGATTCTTCCAATCCATGAGCATGGAAGATTTTTCCATTTCTTGGTATCCTCTTCTATTTCTTTCTTTAAGGTTTTGTAATTTTCATCCTAGAGATTCTTAACATCCTTGGTTAAGTTTATTCCAAGGTATCTGATTGTTTTTGTAGCTATTGTGAATGCGATTGATCTTAGAAGTTCTTCCTCAGTCGTGGCATTGCCTGTGTATACAAAGGCTGTTGATTTCTGTGCATTGATTTTATATCCTGCTACTTTGCCAAACTCTTCTATGAGTTCCAATAGTCTCTTAGTAGAGTTCTTTGGATCTCCTAAATAAAGAATCATATCATCTGCAAAGAGGGATAGTTTGACTTATTCCTTCCCAATTCGTATCCCTTTAAACAGCCTTAACCATCACACCTTTTTTTTTTAAGGTAGCTAAATCAATGGTTAGCAGCATGGGTTTTAGAGGAAGATCCTCTTGAGTTCCAGTCTGACTCTGTCGGCTACCAGCTTTTTGACCTGGTCAAGTCAACAGAATCCAGATTTAACTACATCTCTAAGCTTCAGCTTCTTTATTCTTTGAACTGAAGGGATAAAACCTGCCAGAAATGTCCTCATAGAGATGAAATAATGTTTATGGAACAATTGGCACATTTTCTGGCACATTGTTAGTGTTATTCTTATTTAGGAGATAATATGGAAATATTTTTCCATCAATTTCATAATCTCCAAATACCTCTCTTGACCGCCACCCAAAAAACATAAACAGAACTGGTCCTCTCCTTTTTTGGTTTAGAACAAGCAATCTGAATTGTTTGGAATCCTGCCAGGTGTTCTTCCCACCTTACTCTTAACAGAAAATTTTAAATCTTTGGGGTGGTTTGCATCTTAAAAAGAACTAAAGGGCTGGCACCATGGCTCACTAGTCTAATCCTCTGCCTGAGGCACCGGCACCCCGGGTTCTAGTCCAGGATGGGGCACCGGATTCTGTCCCAGCTGCTCCTCTTCCAGTCCAGCTCTCTGCTGTGGCCCGGGAAGGCAGTGGAGGATGGTCCAAGTGCTTGGGCCCTGCACCCACATGGGAGACCAGGAGGAAACACCTGGCCCCTGGCTTCAGATCTGTGCAGTGCGCCGGCTGCAGCGGCCACTTGGGTGGGGAAGGTGGTGAACCAATGGAAAAGGAAGACCTTTCTCTGTCTCTCTCTCTCTCACTGTCTAACTCTGCCTGTCAAAAAAAAGAAAAAAGAAAAAAAAGAAAAGAAAAGAACTAAAGCATTTAAGGAGATTTGAAATCTTTCCAGGAAAAAGTAAACTCCTGGAGCAAGACATAACTAGATCTCCCTTTATCTTGGACTGTCTCAGAAATCTTTGACTTAGTCCTTCTGCTATGGAATAAGGCAATTAGCTATATTAAGTTAATGAGCTGGAAGCCACACCTCCCCTACTCCATGTAATCTTATTCACTCACCTTTCAATCAGATGGCCCCTTCCCCAGGAAGTGTTTCCCCTTACCTGGGACATGGGGGCAGTACCATGTAAACACTTCTCTTTCTAAGCTCATAGGAAGCCCGGTAAAGGGAAGTGTACTCTCCTCTCCATGTGGACCCAGACGGAGCAGGGTATGAAAATCTCTCTCTTTACCTTTCCTGGCCCACTTTCCCTAAGCAATGCCCATGTGTGCGTGTGTGCTTTCCTCACTTTTTATAAATAAACTTTATCACATTACTCAACATGTGTGTGCCTGTACTTAGAATGTTTCTCTAGGTAAAAGGCAAGAGCCTGGGATAGAAATTTAGGTCACTTCCAGAACTGTGTCCTACATTGGGCCCTGGCAAGAATTGGGACTCTGGACACTGAACCTCATCTCCTGAACCATACCAATATTTCATGTATTGCAGGGCTTGAGAACTTTGCTTCAAACACTGCTTCCAAGTGCCTCAAAATTTTGAGACAAAGGTTTATTGCCTGCTGCCATTTCTCCTTCCCCTCAAATGCTCTATCAACCAGCAAAAATGCTAGAACACATGGCAGGTATTTCATTCCTTCTTCCTGGATTTGCTCCTACTGTTGCTGGCACTGGCTCCTCCCACAAGGACAGGCTTAAGTGCAATGGTGGCGCCGAGGCAGACATGATCAAATCTATTTGATCTTGTTAGGGAGGACCTCATAGGAGAGACAACCCTTGCCTATTTCTAATCACCTTGCATCAATCTTCCCTTTCTTTTCACATTTTTATTTACATTCTTCCACTGTGCAGGCTGTGTAGGATAGTTTGTCCTTCAACCACAAGAGTCAAAAGGAGCCACAAGCTTCTTTTCACCATTCTGAAGCCTGGATTGGAAAAGGTAGAGGGAAAGAAGGGAGAACATGACTTAAGTTCTTAAGTATAGAAAATTCCAATTTTCTGTAGAAGGCTCATTTATTTATCTGATCAGCCAGCATTTACTAAGCACCATGTCTAAAGGCCAGTGTTAGACCCCAAGGATTCACGAACATCATCTCGGCCCTCATAGTTTGCAAGGTAGTAAAACAACTCAAAAAATGTGTTCCAGGTGCAATGTAGAAGTATATAGAGTGTGAATCTAGAGTGAACAGAGGGAATAAACATTCATTTACGGAGACCTCAGAAAGCATGTCATTGAGGTGTGTTGAACATTGAGAAAAGAGCAGGTTTGGAAGAATATCCCAAGCAGCAAAAGAGGATTAACACAGTTATAGAAATATTAAACAGCAAGAGAAACTTTAGAGTCTCAAGTCATTCTTCGTGGCTGAGGAACAGAGTGGAAACTAAGAACCAGAGGACAATGGCTTTTATTTGAAAGGCAGAGTTAAAAGAGAGAGAGTGAGAGAGAGAGAGAAAGGTCTTCAACCCATTGGTTTGCTCCCCGAATGTCCACAGTGACTGGGCTAGGCCAGGCCAAAGCTAGGAGCCAGGAGCCAGAAGCTTCATACAGGCCTCCCATGTGGGTACAGGGGCCCAAGCACTTGGGCCATCCTTCACCACTTGCCCAGGCACATTAGCAGAGAGCTGGATTGGAAGTGGAGCAGCCAGACTCAAGCCAGAACCCATATGGGATGCTGGCATTGCAGGCAGCAGCTTAACCCATTATGCCACAACACGGACCCTGGACAATGGTATTTAGAAAGGTGGATGACATTCTGAAAATGTTTGTATATTGGGAGAGTTTGGCTTGGGTTTCTTGGGATTTTTAACTTTAAATATAAAAATATAAAATAAATCAAGGGATTTAGAATGGATTTTTTTGTTCCTAAGCTAGGAAGGTTGAACTATATTATGAAAACCCTAGAGAGGGGCCGGCGCCGTGGCTCACTTGGTAAATCCTCCGCCTGTGCTGCCAGCATCCCATATGGGCGCCGGGTTCTAGTCCCGGTTACTCCTCTTCCAGTCCAGCTCTCTGCTGTGGCCCGGGAAGGCAGTGGAGGATGGCCCAAGTGCTTGAGCCCCTGCAACCATGTGGGAGACCAGGAGGAAACACCTGGCTCCTGGCTTCGGATCAACACAGCGTGCCGGCCATAGCGGCCTTTTGGGGGGTGAACCAACAGAAGGAAGACCTTTCTCTCTGTCTCTCTCTCTCACTGTCTAACTCTGCCTGTCAAATAAAAAGAAAAAAAAAAAAAAACCTAGAGAACACCCTTGAAAGGATAGTATTATCAGATCTGCTTTTTCCAAAGATTAGAGATTGATTTGGAAGTCAAGTAGGCTTGACATTTCTGTGGTCAATCCATTAGGACTGAAGAGGTTTTCTGAGAATGTTCTTTCTCTCCCTATGTCTTTTAAAAGAGGCAATGATGGCTTACCTCTTCAGCTGTTAATCCCACCTTTACAAAAAGAAAAAACTGGGAAGGGGCAAGGTGGAAACAAGAGATAAGAAGAGTATGAAGGACTACATTAAGACTAAGACGATAAATTAGCCAGGAAGTTTGTGTAGCTACAAGGCAGGCTATCAGCAGGTAGATACTGAATGGTTTAACTAAATCATTTTTATTGAATTTAACTTTTGACTTTCTACTCAATGAGAAATATTCTGGGAATTGTTTATTTATCGATAGCCATGGTTCTCTGAGAAGCACCAGTTCATCTAAAATTCAGAGCTGTACACAGGTTCTACAGCTGTGATTGGCTGGCTAGAGTTGACTTCTCTTGAGTTTCCACTTCATCAGATGGGTCTCCCAGGGGGCAATGGTGAATCTATCACTAAGGAAGACATCACATTCAAATTAAAAGTTATTTAAATAAAACTAAGTAGCTGAACTAAAAATAAAGGAAGGAAGGGGTAATTCTTTTAACTTTTTTATGTAGAGGGTGGGAGGATTAATTAGCTTATTTTTGTAAAGTGCATTAGAGATAAAGCATGCTGATAACTTGCCAAAACCCATCCCTATCATGCTTGCTTTCTTTGTCCTGCATAAATATTTAATAATCACTCTGGGAAAGCAATTCTTGTTTAATCTATCATTCTGTTCTTATTAGATCATATACAACAGCCTAATTTTCCCCCTGTTTGCATTATTTCAAAAAATACCTCCAAAATAGCTTTGTATCAACCAAGCAATAATCTACAGATAAATCATTAAATTTTGAATCTTTCTCATCAATGAGAACTATATATTATAGCAGGATCTGTAAGTTGGAACATTGTCAAGGTAAAATAGGCGTTAATTTTTCTCTGGACATAATCAAACTGGTCATTGCCAAAAATAAGCTTTTTAATCAGGAAGAAACAAAACAGATTCTAATTCATTCAACTGTTTCTAAGCATTATTGACCACAAAACATGACTTATTTTTTGGAAACACAGGTTTCACAAATTAAGAGAATGCATTCGTAGAGCCACCCAAAGTGGTGATTTTCAGTCAGTATGTTTCATGTCTCACTAATTAATCTATTTGTAAGAAAGAAAATGAAGGAGTATCAAAACCTTTTTTCTCCAGATTTTTATTCCTTAAGTAAGACCAGCACAGGCCTCATCATGTGGCCAGGGTACCTAGCCCTGCTGCATAGAGGACCCCTCCCTGCAGGGCCTTCTTCCTTATCTGCACATCCCTAGACATCTCTCCTAAGCTTGGCAGATGTGCACCTTGGCTCCCCACGGCCGCAGTTAGCATGCACAACACCTGGCACTGGAGGGCGGAAGGGCAGAAAGCCAACAGATAATCTCCGGCAAGTAAGGTTGGCAGAAAAATAGCAAGAAGTGAACAAGGAGATAGTTATTAAGAGAAATAACCTGTACATGATTATCCATCACAGGCCTCGGGTTACAGTGTATATCCGTCACGCTCACAGGTGAACATGAGAACAGGAAAGTGGAAAAATCTTAATATGTTTTCAATTGTTGCCAGAACTCTGTGTCCTTAGTACAGTAACTCTGGGTCCAACTAGTTCTGAACCACTGACCCAAGGAACAGGCACTTCATTCCAGAACACCAGATGATTTCCTTCCCAGCTGAAGCCTTTAATGAGTTGGCCAGCTCTGCCTTCCTTGGCGGGAAGACCCTGTCTGGGAGAGCAGGCTTCAAACAAATAAAGGTCGCTACCTCCGCCCCGACCACATTTGTCTCTACTGCCTCAGCCAAGCCAGCAAATCTTATCCAACTTTTCCTTAGAAAACGTCCCACAGCCGTGGGTGCTGCAATCTAGTTTATTATCATTGCATCACCTCCCTCGGGCCTTACCTCTGGCCTGGCTGTGTATGACTTTAGACTTGAGCTCATCTTAGGAGAGGCAGACCTCGTTGGGCAGGTGGAAAAACCATTTCCGTGCCCTTGAGTCAAGTTCCCACAACAGGGCAGCAGCGGCGCATGCGTGGTAAGAACAGGTTTCCCGGCAGGCACCGCGGTTTTCCGCAGCTCTGCTGGGGCTACGGAAGCATCTCGCCTACCGCTACCCGCGAGCACAAGCGGTGCTGCAGCCCACCCGGTACTTCCTGCGGAAGAAGAACTCCTGCTCCCCCTCTGCCGTCATGGGCTGGGGCTGGGCCTTCGTGAAAGGCCCCAAAGCCCGCAGGCTGAGGAAGAGGAGTGTGCAGACCCTCTAGGTTAATCCAAGTACAACTGCGTCTCTGGAACAGGGCCCGAAGTAGCCAGCTTTCCAGTGTTTCCGCCTCAAGGAAGCCACAGGGAGGACTTGCTGTGCCCTGGGGGCTGGGAAGGAGCCCGGTGGCACAGGACCCCTGACCACCGACCACGGCTGACTAGGAAAAGGCCGCTCTCCCCCGCTGATGCTGACCGTGAACATGGGAGGTAAACAGTTATTTGTCAACAATTTGTAAGTTTCACTTGTAATTGTGTTTATTTCCACGTCAATAACATGCTTGAGGGAAAAGGCCCCGCTTGCCCTCAGCGGGGCAGGTTCCCAGAAGTGTGTTACACAGACTTGCAAATAAACTCTGTGCGGTGGCAGAAAAATCTATCGACGTCTATAGGCTGATCGTTTGTAACCATAAATATAATTAGTTTACTCTGCAGGAGGAGCAAAGATGCATGAACTTCATGAGGGTTTTCTTTTTTCTTTCTTTAAGATTTACTTATTTTTTTAAAAAAAGATTTACTTATTTATTTGAAAGGCAGAGTTTTTAAAGAGAGAGAGAGAGAGAGATACCTTCCAACCGCTGGTTCACTCCCCAAACGGCTGCAATGCCAGTCTGTGCCAGGCGGAAACCAGGAGTTTCTTCCAGTCTCCCACGTGGGTGCAGGGGCCTGAGGACTTGGGCTGCTTTCCCAGGCACATTAGCAGGGAGTTGGATGGGAAGGAGCAGCTGGGACACTAACAGGCACCCATGTGGGATACTGGAGTCACAGGTGGCAGTTTAAGCTGCTATGCCACAGTGCTGGCCCCCTGGTTCTTCAATGAATGCTTATTTTGTTGGATGTGCTACTGTTGAGTGCCCTGTAGATCAAAGCAATTTTTAAATCCCAAGTTTGCTTTGTACATTATAACTATCATTACTCAAAGTTCATTCAGCCTGGAAGAAGTATTTTCTGTGAAGTAATGTTAGATCACTGTTTTGTTTTGTTTTGTTTTGTTTTTGACAGGTAGAGTTATAGACAGTGTGAGAGAGAGGGAGAGAGAGACAGAGAGAAAGGTCTTCCTTCTTTTGGTTCACTCCCCAAATGGCCACTATGGACCCAAGCACCTGGGCCATCCTCCACTACCCTCCCGGGCCACAGCAGAGAGCTGGACTGAAAGGAGCAACTGGGACTAGAACCCGGCGCCCATATGGGATACCAGTGCCATTGGCGGAGGATTAACCAAGTGAGCCACGGCGCTGGCCCCAGATCACTGTTCTAATACAGTTATTTTTAAATATAACACATTTAACTAATTATGAAATATTTCATACTTGTTGAAATTTTGGAGGAGGAGGAAGCACAGGAAAACAAAAAACACCATTAAATTCATATATTTGTTACCACTCAAGATTACCTCTTTAAATATTTAGTTGTATTTAGTCTCAACTTTCTCCAAATGATATATAACTTGCATGTAATTTTTTATGTAAATTCAAAATTAGCCAATTATGTCCATATTTCTAGTTTTTACAACATCATTAACATTCTGAAAAATACTGCCAAAACTATCACTTTTAATAACCACATGTTAGCAGATTATTAGACATTTGGATTGCTGTAGATTTTTAACTATTACAAATATGTTGCGATGAATGCTTTTCAAATTTTTTTTATCAAATGGCAGGTGATTTTCATAGGATAGATTCCTAGAATTTACAAAGAATCTGTTTTAAGGATTTTGTCAGATATTTCCAGTTTCCCTCCATAAAATCCATGCTTATATGCATTCCCATCAGAACAGTATACAGCATTCATTTTCCCACATCCTTGCCAACACAAAATTTTTAAAAAATATTTCTATCATCCAGCTGATATATACTACTTATCTAAGATAACCAGGGTTTTTGGCCACAATAAATGCAGGCTGGTAGAAGAAACAAAACCAGAAAGAATTTATGAGTAAATATGGGAGTAGATTTAATTATGATATTGAAAGAAATGTGTGAAATGAGCTCTGGCTAGGAAAAGGTGAAGCAACTGCCGGAAAAGGAAAAACCTGTGTTAAAGCAAGCAGTTTCATAGCCCAGCTGGGAAGGTCTTCATCCATAAAAATATCTTCTGGGTATTGAAGTGTATTTCTGAGAAATAGTATATTTTAAATGTCATCTCTCAGATGAAGAGTAGGCATACTATTCCCAAAAGTTGGCCAACCACTGAGAGGAAGCCAGACAGAACTTTAAGTAACACTTTGTGACAGCCTGGGTCAGATCCAAACCTTGTGATGAGCATGTGGATGGCAATTCAGATACAACCCAGTGGAGCACTTTGCTGCTCTTCACAGGTAAGTTTTAAACAGGTTTAGGAGAATGGAATCACTGAGCATTTCCCAGTGCATAGTCTTCTAAAATCAGGAAAAACTTATTTACTTTGGAAATGATGCTGAAATATTAATACCTACAATTTCAATGCACCAAGGGAATTTAACAACTAAATTTTGGTGTAAGTTGAGGAGAGGCATGAAGCTAAAATCAGCAAACCTCTCAAGTATGGAGCAGTAAATGTAGCCAAAAATGTTCAAATAAAATGTAGAGCAAGACTAAATTGAATAAAAAAGGAATTTAAAACACTGCCAAAATGCAAAATTAAGCATTCTTGTTAGCTCATTTTGCAGTCAATTTATTCCATTACAACTCTTTGGCCTATTATTTGTCATGAATTTTTACTGTAAGGGTTTTAGTTGTTCTGTAATATGCACTCAGTTTCATGTATATGCTTATAGATGTATATACATATAAATGAATACACACACATATCTATGTGTGTGTGTGTGTGTGTATATATATATATATATAAGCTTATATATATATATGAACCTCAGGGTATAAATGACCCCTGAGGGGGGAAAGAATTGTACCTGAGGCAATGCATGCCTGGTACTCCCTACAATTCCTTCCATTCTCCAAAAATATTTGTGAGTGAATAATCCTGCCTTGGGCTATTGTTCAAACAACAAATAGCAAAATCTAGATGTTAAAGTATATTTAACAATATTCTTAGATGACACAGCTTTGCTTTAATTTTTAAGATAGAATGAGCTGCACTGAGGAGGCAATATAATCTAATTAAATTGTCACAGAAGTGAATTCTTTTTTTTTAAGGGAAAGGGTTTTTTGGGGGAAACCCGACAGACTGAAGGGAAGGGGTGAAGAAGGAAAAGACGGAGAAGGACAGCATAAGAGAGAGATTGAGAGAGCCACGTGTTCAGGAACAGGTCATCTTAAACCTTTGCCAGGGGGCGGGCAGGGAAGTAGGAGCAGGGAATCCCATTAGGGTGGGGGTGGAACTGACACCAGTGGTTGGGCCATGGGGTCACCTGGCTTCCAGCCGTGGCGGGGGGGCTAGATGGTGTCTGGGGTGTAGATTGAGCCATAGATAATACTGCACCATTTTACTAACATTCCCCCCTCCTTTTTTTTTTTTTTTCCAAGATTTTTTTTTATTTATTTGACAGGTAGAGTTATAGACAGTGAGAGAAAGAGACAGAGAGAAAGGTCTTCCTTCCGTTGGTTCACTCCCCAAATGGCCGCTACAGCCAGTGCTGCGCAGATCCGAAGCCAGGAGCCAGGTGCTTCCTCCTGTTCTCCCATGTGGGTGCAGGGCCCAAGCACTTGGGCCATCCTCTACTGCCCTCCTGGGCCACAGCAGAGAGCCAGACTGGAAGAGGAGCAGCCGCTGAGACTAGAACCCAGCACCCATATAGGATGCTGGCACCGCAGGTGGAGGATTAACCAAATGAGCCATGGCGCCGGCACCCCCCCTTTTGTTTTTCATAAAGCAGGATTTGTATGGGATTATATTAGCCCCAAAAGTTCTGGAAGGGTAGAAGGACGATGATCTGTCTTCAAAGCTACTAGAGATATGAATTCTGACCCAATTAAAATCTGCATGACTTAACAAATCACCTAATTCTTAACCCTATAAATTGTGTATTATTGAAATAATAATTAACCACTAAAGTTATTGTGAAAATTAAATGAGACAATGTTTGTAAATTTTTTTTTTAAGTACAATATTGTTAGTTGGGCTACAAATTCTTTTTTTTTTTTTTTAACAGAGTTAGAGAGAGAGACAGAGAGAAAGGTCTTCCTTTTCCCTTGGTTCACCCCTCAATGGCCACTGCGGCCGGCGCACCGCGCTGATCCGAAGCCAGGAGCCAGGTGCTTCTCCTGGTCTCCCATGCAGGTGCAGGGCCCAAGGACCTGGGCCATCCTCCACTGCACTCCCAGGCCACAGCAGAGAGCTGGACAGGAAGAGGAGCGACCGGGACAGAATCCGGCGCCCCGACCAGGACTAGAACCCGGGGTGCCGGCGCCACAGGCAGAGGATTAGCCAATTGAGCCGCAGCGCTGGCCACAAATTCTTTTTGATATGATTACTTAAATGTTATGCTTACAGAATGATTCCTAACCTTCTTCCATTTCATAGTAACTTCCTGTTGAAATAGGAGGAATTTCAGTCACTCAAACTTGGCATTGCCCAAATCTAAAACCCCAAGAATAGAATTCTCTCAAGTACAGGGAGTTTCTAACATTACATTGATATCCTAAGCCTATCAATATTTCTTACCCCTCTTCTTAAGTGCATTAACTTCAATATGCTTCATGAAATGAAAGTGAGAATGCATGAGGGAACTTTTTTTTTTTTTTTTTGACAGGCAGAGTGGACAGTGAGAGAGAGAGACAGAGAGAAAGGTCTTCCTTTTGCCGTTGGTTCACCCTCCAATGGCCGCTGCGGCCGGC